GCTTCCCATGGGTGGTGAGCTTCATCTTGTATTCAATGATAGTATTTTTCAAGCAACAGGTTTGTGTTGGGCCAGTGACTGTGCATGTGTTGGGGATACCATGAGGACAAAGAAAACATGTTTTTTTGTCCATCTAGAGCATACTGTGATGGTTTTTGTCCATCTAGAGCATAGATTTTTGTCAAGAAAAAGACGAAAGTCAGTAATCTAACAATTACAATGGTTATAAATTATAGTGAGGATGAGAATGTAGCCCAAAATGTCTATGTTTATTATAAGCAATTGTAGGTAGTGGTACACACACACACACACACACACACACACACACACACACACACACACCATGATAAAGGAGGAGGAGGAGAAAGAGGAGGAGGAAGAAGAGGAGGAGACTATAATGAGCCTGTGGGGGTGCAGGGTTTCCCACCTGTGACTACCCCCTCTCTCAGTATAGCTGGTTATTTGACTAACCACTGCCAGTAACTCCTTTCCATGTTAAGAGCTCTCCAGAGTAACAAAGAAACAAATATGTAGGGAAAAATCTCATTTTTCTAATCTGTAAAATGGGCATAAAGACCAAGAAGATCTTGGGTGAAAATACTCTGCAAGTGGTAAAGTTCCAAATGGAGATGATGGCATGAACTAAGTTTATATGAAAAGAGTTTAGAGAATCTGTCACTTATTAATAAGAAAATAATAAAGCAGAAGGGGAGATTAGAGGAGAGGACGGGGAAGGAGGAAGGAGAGAGGAAGGAGGCAGGCAGGGGAGAGGAAGGCGGGGGAATGAGGAATAATGAAAGGGAGAAGGGAGCAGGGAGATGAAGGACTGGGAAACTGTCGGGATTACTAATTTTCCCCGCCCGAGCAGCCAGCATGAGAGAAGGGAGGATGGGAGCAGAAGGAACCGTGCTGGAGAAGGTCCAGAACGGAAATCAGCACTCTGCGGTCTTTACCTATGAGCCGCTCGCTGGGGTGCAGCCAGAAAGCAGCAGCAGGTTCCAAAGAGACCGAACTCATCCCCACTGGTAGAGCCAAACAGGTAGGGGCAGCCCACTCAGGACACAGTGCCTGGCCTTCCGGTAACTCGGGAGCGGCCACCCTTGGCTAAGATGGATTTTTGAAGAGGCTGAAAACAGAAAGCATTGACAATTACACAGGCATTTTGATCACCAAGAACTTTAAAAACAGATAAACAGCTGAATGACTTTCGTTTGTTTTAAACAATGGCCACAGCAATAGCAGCCCCTGTAACTTGCGCTCATGCTGAATCGCAAGGTAAGGATTTCACCGCCGGTGTCACATTTACAGTTCACAACCACTATGCCATAGCCAGCCTCATAGAATAAGAAATCCGAGGCCCTGGGCCATTAAGGAGGCTGCACAGATGATCTTGCAGGGAGCTGAGGGTTCCCCTATCCACCTCCAAAGGTTGTCTCTTCCCGCAATGCAATAGCCAGGCCAGAAGAGAGTCTAGAGTTCTGAATTTGAGACCCTGAGTCTCAATCGGAACTGGCTTAGGAAATGCTACGGGTGTTTCTTTCAACAGGAAGAAACAGTCCAAATCACAGGACTTCTAGGAATCAAAGAGGTTACTAATCAAGTCTCTACATGGTTTAGGTGACTTGCCTCGGGTAACAGACCTGGGTAGTCCAGCACCCAGGGAAAGAAAGGAATAAAGAAAGAAAGAAAGAAAGAAAGAAAGGAAGGAAGGAAGGAAGGAAGGAAGGAAGGAAGGAAGAAAAAAGAAAGAAAGGAAGGGAAGGAAGGAAGAAAGAAAGGGAGAGAGAGGGAAGGAGGGAGGAAGGAAGGAAGGAAGGAAGAAAGGAAAGAAGGAAGGAAGGAAGGAAGAAAAGAAGGAAGGAAGGAAGGAAGGAAGGAAGGAAGGATAATGACTTCAAACTATGGGATGCTCCCTGCCACTCATGTGCCAGTCAGTGGCTTCACTAAGCAATAACCAGAAGTTTCAAAGAAATGAAATGGAATCCAGTAGAAAATAGAGCTTATGGATGCACGTATTTCCTGCTTCTTTTCAGTTGTATGTGTTACTCTGTGCCTACAAACCTCTATGTAAAATAAAACATCTCTGGGCCGCAATCAATAACCTTAAAATGCCACTGGACTAGGGACTGAGCACAAGGGAGGAAGACCTCGTGGGAGTGACAGGAAGTTTGGGCAGAATCCAACATTTGCTCCTTAATGCTAGCAAAAACAGTTTGGAAATAACCACTGGACCTATTTTTAGCACTACCAAAATTACCTCCTACTTTGATCTCTGACGTTGACCAGGATGGCTCCTCCCCAGGCTGGTAGCTCCGCATGGACACACACTATTCCTACAGGCCAGACTGAGGCCCAGGGAAGCCATCCCACCGGAAAGAGGCACATGCTAGGTATTTCTCTCAACTCCATTGCTATTTCCCGTATCTGACTTCCTTCCCTGCCTGGGAATGAGAGCAGGCTCCTGGAAACAGAGGCCAGCATCCTTCATAACAGGATGTAGTTAGTGAGGGACCACACAGGGATGGCTGTCCCTGCGGCCATTTCACCATTGCAGGCACCTTAAGCATTCAGAGAGCAGGAGACATTGCAAGGCCCTAGAGAGGACGAAGGGGATCCTCCCTGCCCTGATCCTATAGACAGGCCTTCTAAAGCCTCAGAGCCCCCACCCCAAGCTCGGGCAGCACCTGAAGATTGAAGTGCAGAACAGAAGCGTCTCATAGATTTGTTCAAGTCAGGGCTCACTTTGGCACATGTGTTCATAGGTGCACACTCATGTGAGAGATGAACAAGGGAACACGTGAGGAAAAAAAACCATACTCTTGCAATGAAGAGCCTGAACCATCCTGTCTGGGTCATGGTGGGAAAGGCCGGGGACCCCATGGTGGTTAGCCGAAGCACGAACTTCCATCTTTCCATATGTAGGGGGACAGTAGATTGTGAAGAGTAGGAAGGCAGTGAGAATAAACTATTTCAGCAGAAGTCATACAAAATACATTTTTAGTGAATTATAATCTAAAATCTCACCAAACGGCAGCATTGTGTGATAGTACTACCAAAGTTCCTTTAAAATGCTGCCCATCACTGCGGTCTAATTTCTGTCGGCTCAGTACTGGCCGACAGGTCACACGCCTGGTGGAGTGCTGGCTTGGCTTCAGACTTTGTTGGATTGATTACCTCAGGCTCTGCTCATACCCAGTGCTGCTCCCAGTGGAGGCTTGCTACACTCACAGCTTAGACCTGAGGCTCTCAATCTTCCCAATGCCAAGACCCTTTAACACAGTTCTTCATGCTGTGCTGACCACCAGCCATAAAATTATTCTGTTGCTACTTCATAACTGCAATCTTGCTACTGTTATGAATAGTGTTGTTCATATCTGTTACGCAAATCATGGGGGTTGTGGCCCATAGGTTGAGAAGCATCCATAGAACATCACTGAGAGAGTTTAGGTGCTTTATTAAATGTGTGTTTCTTCAACATCCATGTGTTGAGCCAGAAATGATGACACATTCTTATAGTCTCAGCCCTTCAGAGAATGAGACAGGAGGATCAGGAGTTTAAAACTAGCTTGGGCTGCATAATCACGAACACACACACACACACCCCACACCTCACACACACATATACATACATACATACATACATACATACATACACACATACCACATACACCACACACACAACACACTCACACACATACACACCAAACACATACCACACCACACACACACACATATATATATACTCATATACACACACACATACATGCACATATCCATACACACACACCATACCACACACACACACCACACACACACTCTCTCACTCTCTCTCTCTGTCTCTCTGTCTCTCTCTCTCTCTCTCATACACACACACACACACAACCACGCAGATCATGTATTGAGAACTTAATTTCTAAACATCTTATATTGATTCTGTGTGGAGGAAGACATTTGTATGGTAATTGGGGTTAAATGAAGTCTTATTAGAGAGACACCTCCTCCCTCGTCAGTGGTAGTAACAGTGATTATATAAGAACATCATTATCACACTTGCTCTCTCTTGCTATGTGATGGCCTCTGCCATGTTACAATGAAGTAGGCTTTTCATGCCAGTCTCTAGAATGTAGGAACTCAACCACTGTTCTTCCTAATTGCACAGCTCGGGCCCTTAGTTGCAGCAGCAGAACCAGGTAAAGATAACAGCGGATCCTGGGACTAGTTCCGGTTCCTGCTTAGAGAACCGCCTACTTAAGGGAAGAAGTGAGTTGTCAGTGCGGCCAGCCAGAGATGAACAAAGGCCCAAGCAGCTTGACTCTGAGGCAGATCATGCTGGACACAATCCCTCCCCTCCCTCTATGTCTGATTTTCATGAGAAGGAGTTCTTGGAAAAGAAACTCCCCAGAGAGACTCCAGAAAGCTATGAAGCATTGCCCTGAGCTCCATTGCAGCTGAAGACACATCAGAACCACTCTGAAAGCTCGGGGCCCGATGACTGACACATACCTGCATTCTAATCACAGGTAACCTTGACAAAGTCACTTAGCCTGCTGGCTAGTTTTATGTCAACTTGACACATGCTAAAGTCACCTGAGAGGAGGGAACCTCAGTTAAGAAAATGCCTCTATAAAATTGGGTTCTGGGGCTGGACAGTGGTTAAGAGCATTGGCTACTCTTCAGAGGACCGGGTTCAATTCCCAGCAACCACACGGCAGCTCACAGCTGTTTGTAATTCCAATTTCACAGGATCTGGTACCAAAGAGAGAGAGAGAGAGAGAGAGAGAGAGAGAGAGAGAGAGAGAGAGAGAGAGAGAGAGAGAGAGAGAGAGAGAGAGAGAGAGAGAGAGAGAGAGAGGAAAAGAAAATAAACCATTGGGCTCTAGCAAACCTGTAGGGCATTTTCTTAATTAGTGATTGATGGGGGAGAGCCCAGTCAGCTGTGGATGGGACCGTTTCTGGGCAGGTGGTCCTGAGTTTTATAAGAAATCAGGCTGAGCAAGCCATGAGGAGCAAGCCGGTAAGCGGCACTCCATCATGGCCTCGGCTCCCGTCTCCAGGTTCCTGCCCTGTTTGAGCTCCTGTCCTGACCACCTTCGATGATGAACAGTGTAAGAGGGACCCTTTTTTCTCCAGTTGCTGTTGATCATGGTGTTTTATCACAGCAATACTAACTGCGACTAAGACGCTTGGCCTTTTTCAACTTTGTTTTTTCTTCTTTACAAAGTAGGTATTGAACTCCTGTCTTCTAAGGATTAGAGGAGACTCAGGAGCCAAAGCTGCTGGCCAGAGTTAGGAGTATAATAAACTCAGTTGAGATTTGCCCTCCCTGTAAAGGTTCTTGTTGATCTAGAGTTGACCACTAGGCAGGGAGTCCTCACCAACTGTTCCCTTGGGCTTTCTGTGTTTGGGGTGGTGTCTTGGCAGCCAGTGCTCCTAACCCAGCGAGACCCAAGACCTCCTTTTGTCATGGCATGGCCTGGAGGATGCTCTCTGGCCCCAGCAGACACAGACTTGCTGCCACGGCTCCAAAATTATTGTGACTTGGAAAGAATCTCTGGCATGTGTCGTGTTGTCTCCCACAAGCCATGATCCGTGGCGTGTTGGGAAAGCGCTTTGTTCTGGGGCCAAGAGGGCACGCCATAGGAGGGTCACCCATAAGTCTCCCCATTGAGCTGCTCCCCTCAGCCCTCTCTCCCCTACTCCCTGTTCTGACACCATCTGCTGCATGTCACAGATACAGCCTGGAGAGCCAGCAGCTGCCTTCTTGTTGGAGGTCCAGACTTGTGCCTGAGTTTGGAGATAGCTGATAGCTGGCTCTGGCTATGGGTGAGACCACGGCTGGGAGGAAGGTCCATGGAGAAGTGACCAGGAAGGATGAGACTTGTCCCGAGGGAGGGCTGGGGTGGAGGACAGCTCCCACTCCAGGCTTTAGGGGTTCATTTCCTCAGTTGTACTGGGACTCTGTGCAAAGTGTCTCTCTCTCTGGGGCCCAGGTTCTTTCCTGGTGAAATAGATACCAGGTCTTTCTGAACTCCCTCTGGCTTCATTATTCCTAGGCTGCACAACGGTTCAGTAGGTTTGAGTAGGTGGGATGGGCAGCAGGCTGGGGAAGGAAGCAGAGGAGGCAAGAAATAAATGCAAGAGTGACTTCCCACTCTGGCTCTACAGTGCTGTCGCCTTTATTCACCTGTAATTGGATTGATTTTCTATCTCAAGCCTTCTTGTGGCAAGTGCAGAAACACCAGCGTAGTCATTTCCAGGTAAAAGCGGGCACTGGAGTCTTTCTCAATCCTTTCCTCCCCCGCTCCCTCTCCCCCAATCCCCCAGCCTCAGACACTGAGGCTAAGGCAAACTATGTCGTTGCTCAGTCTGCCCTGGATTCCTTTTGTCAAACAGTGACATGTCCCTGTGTAGCCCTCAAACATGACCCCTTTCCAAGTTGGTATAGAAGCCATTCTCATCCATCCCCTAACTGAATGGTCAGTGCCAGAGCATCCTGTCTGTTCCATGCCCTGGATCCTTCCGGATGCCTCTTCGCAGACCTATAACTTCATTATCATGCTCGAGGCTTACACACACGTATGTATCAGTTCCTTTCCTCACTGCTGTGAGAAAACACAAAATGCCCGATGAAATCAAGGAAGGGAGTGAGGGGGTTTTTTTTTTGGCTCACAGTTTAAGGGTGTGGTCATCACAGAGGGAAATCATGGTGCCAGGGGCATGAAGCATCAGGCGGCACCTACAGACGGGAAGCAGGCAGAGATCAACGCTGGTGTTCAGCTTCCTTTCTCCCTTTTCAGTCTTGGACACTCACATTTAGGGTGAGTTACCACCTCAGTTAACCTAATTCAGAAAATTCTTCCCTGATGTGCCCAGAGGTTCGTTTCCATGGTAATTCTAAATGCTGTTGACAGTCTACTTTAACTATCACATGGTCTCCAGGAGAGCCCTGGGAAATCTACCTGCCTGAGAGTAGACAAGGGCAAAGAGATGGAGGCCAAGGCATACCACACTGCCTCTATTGTACTATAGCTGCAGCACCAGGGACCGACTCCCTAACCTTTCCCAGAGAAGCAATACAACTTTCCCCTTGCCTGAACCGTATCCTTGTAAGAGTCTGTCTGCTTTCCCTACCTCCTTCCACCTCCAGGACTCTCTAGATCAGTGGTTCTCAACCTTCCTAATGCTGCTACCCTTCAATACAGCTCCTCATGTTATGGTGACCCGCAACCATACAATCATTTTTATTGCTACTTTAACTGTAATTTTTGCTACTCTTATGAACCGTAATGTAAATACCTGTGTTTTCAGATGGTCTAAGCATCTGGAAGGGTGGTTGTAACCTCCAAAGGGGTCACGACCCACAGGTTGAGAACCACCGCTCTAGATGCTCTAACTCTGAATTTGATTCTTCTTCTACAGATGACAGAATACTAGTTTGATCAGAGCAGGACACGGGGAGGACCGTCTAAAGGTAAAGTGGTTTTACACGTCACATAATATAGTCTTAATCATTCCTGTCTCTCATTTGCATGAAAGCCTTGGGTTTCGAAGGCCAAGTGTTTGCTGCCTTTGGTTTTTGCTTTCTTTGATTGAGACTCCTGTCATCTCACTGCCTGAAGATTGGAAAGGATGCATTTGCTGTGCTTCTCAAGCCAAAGGGCCTGGGAAAGGCTGGCCAAAGGATCAGAACTGGTCCTGGGCTCTGAAATGCCTTTGATAATGACATAGAATTGCTAATAGCCTTATTATTATCAAATAGTCAAAGTTGTCCACAGTTAAGTTCAATGTACAGCCCCTTCCCCTAAGCTTTAAGACCCTCCTCTGCCTCCTTATGGCCCTTTTCAATGATCTTCTCCAGACCCCTCCCCTACCTGGAACTTCCCAGGTCTTTAAGCAAACTTCTCTCACTCAGCTGTCAGCTGAACTCCTGAATATATGTCTGTGCGTTTGGTTGGTTGTCTTCTGTTTGTTTTTGTGTATGTCCTGGGGGCATGCATGCACAAGGATACATGTACATGTGGGAGCCAGAGGCCAACCTCAAGTGTCTTCTTCAGGCGTTGCTTGCCTTCTTTGTCTTGTTGGGCTTTCGTTTTGTTTTGGGGGGTTTTTTGTTGTTGTTTTGTTGGTTTTTGCTTGTTTGTTTTGGTTTTTGGTTTTTCCATGTAGGGTCGGTCTCTCTCTCTCTCTCTCTCTCTCTCTCTCTCTCTCTCTCTCTCTCTCTCTCTCTCCTCAGCTACCAGGGAACTATAAAGCAAAACTATATTGAGAGTCCACCTGATTCTACTCAAAATGGTTGTTATAATCAAATAAGTAAATAAGAAGTTCTGGTGAGGATGTGAGGGGAAACCTTATATGCTGTTGGTATGCATGTAAATTAGTCCAGTCACTATGGGAACCAGTATGAGAGTTCCTCAGAAAAGTAAAAGATAGAAGTAGCACGTGACTCAGCTAGAAGGTATCTCAACCAACAATGCATGGAGATGTGCATAGAGCCATGCTTACAGCATCGCTCTTCATAATAGCCCAGATATGGAATCAGCCTAGGTTCCTGTAACACATGAACGGATAGAGAAAATGTGCCGTGTACACTGAACAGTGTGATTCTATCACAAAGAAGGATGGACTCACATCATTCACAAGAAAATGGATTGAACTAGAGGTTGTTAGGTTTAGTAAGATAAGCAAGACACAGAAAACGCTGCTTCTGCTCATAATAGAACAAAAGGAAAAGAAAAAAGCAAAGCAAAAGACTTTAAAACAGTAGGGAAACTACTAGAAGATAATAAGGGATGAGGCAGAGGGGAGAAGGAAGGATAAGAAAAAAATAACTGGAAAGTGCATATAATCAATCCATGACCTATTCAAGTATGGGAATCACTCAGTAAAATGCAGTAGTATGCACAACTAATACACATTAGTAATTACAATTCAAATATACACTGATCTGCGAAAGAAGTTGTGATCAGAAATCTAGATCAAGGACTATTAAGTATTGATGGTCAGGTGATTGAATCTAGGGCCTTGTCTATTCTAAGCAGGGATGCTACAATTGAGCTCTTATCTCTAGGCCTATTATGGGAATGTCTAAGAATTTCCAAGAAGTAGATGCATCCTGGGAAAAGGAAAGGACCAGAATTTGGACATTGGCAAGGAAATATTGGTACAACAGAAGTGAGAGACATAGACAGGTGCCTCCCTTGTTTCCTCCATCCGCCATAGTTTCTGTCTTCCTCTGTCTTTCCTAACCTTAGCTCCTTTGAAGAGTACTGGCTATTTATTCCATATGACATGTCCCAGTTGGGGCTGTCTGAAATTTCCTCAGGACTGTAGCAACATCAGTGGGGTGACATCTTCCTCAGAGCGTTGTGCTGGGAGGCATGTGTCAGTTAATACGTTAGCTCGATTGGGTTCTAGAATCAGCTAGAAGACAAGCCTCTGGGTATGTCTGCAGGTTTCTAGGGTGAGTTAGTTGGAGTGGGAAAACTCACCCTAAATGTGGCCATACCGTCTGTTGGCTAGATTCCTGGACTGCATACACAGAAGAGCATCCGAGGGCTAGCACGGGGCTCTCTTTGTTCTCTGACCGTATAAGCAAAATGGCCAGCACCTCAGCTGCCGCCATGTCTTCTCCGCCATGATGGATGTTCCTTTGAACTGTGAACCCTTCCCTCCTCAAGTTGCTTTTGCTGGGTATTTTGTCCCAGGAACACGGGAACACACAGTGCTGGAGTGTTGTCAGTTGTGCAAACCCCAACTCCACAGTGAAAGCAATGCCTGCTAGTCTCCCCACCATGAAGTTAGACTTCAGTTCTTTCATGAATAGTTATTTCTATAGTGTTTGTCTGATGGTGATTTTTCTGTTTTCATTAATTCATCAATTACATATGGAAAAGTTTTTCTTCTTTGGCAGTAACTTACTCATTCAAGGGTTTGTTAGTATCACTACAAACTGGTGGCTATCTGAGTCGTTCATTTTGTTGCTTCGAGTGCCTCCAATTTGGCTCTTGGGATCTCCTTTGGAGTGGGCATCTGTGCTATGCTGAGGTACCGCCATCATTTGCAGTGCTTTTTTTGCTAGTTGAATCTGAGATGATTCATTGCTCCAGATGTGGAGACAACTGGGCTTGGGTTTTCATTTCCCTGGAGTATCATTACTTTTTGGCTCTCTTTACTGAGTTAGAAAATAACATTTGCTGTATTCAAACTCCTCTCTCTGTCTCCATCCTATGTTAATGCTCACACCTTAAATTATCACTTAATACATTTTTAGTTTCCCCTTTTCCTTATTTTTAATTCTTTTCCATGACACTGAGGAATCTACCTTCCCTTGTCTGAAACAGACTTATATTTGCTTAATTGTAACATACATACTGAATTGTTGACACATACTTTCATGAGAGATAAAATAGCAGCTACTCTGTGCGCATACTTTTTTTGTCTTTAGCCTGAGAGTTGTCACATTGAGACTTCAAATTTGTTTAGATTAATCCTTGTCCTCTCTGCCCTCCTAAGTATGGGTATCTATTCACATGTAACAGCACTGAGTTCCTTTATTACAGTATATATCAGTTGGGGCTCTGTCTACAGCGTTTGTATCTTTCTAGATTTGTATGTTTTCTCTGGGGAGTAAGGAAGCATCACATTCTGGGAGTTGGAATTGTACAAAAGTCTCCCCAGAGAACTGCCACTTCCTACTCATTCCAGGTACCCCACTGTTGCTCCCCAAGGGCAGTGAGCATGTCTTAAACTGGTCTCTGTGTTGGGGAAAGACTGAATGAGAAGAGAATGAGAGCACATTTGAGTGAAGGGTTAACGAGGAAGGAGGCGCTCTGGAAAATTCAGGAAAAGAGCAGATGTGGGTGATTCATAGGTGGGCAAAGACAGCAAGTGAAATTTACATCTGGTGCATTGGTCAGTTTTACTCCACCGCCCCTGGTACCAACTATGTAAGCAACGGGGTTTCCTTTTGAACAAGTTTTATGTTTTCACTGTACCCGGTTACACAAGGCATTTTCATGCAAGTGTGTGATGCATTTGAGTATATCCCCTCACACTCTGTTACCATCACCCTTCACCTCTTCCCGTTGTTCCCTTTGTTCCCCAGATTTGTTTCTGCCCTCACGTCACCAGTTCACATGTGACGTTATGTATCTATGACAGCCATGGCCCATCAGTAAGGGAAAACATGGTCTGTCTTTTTAACAATGTCTTAATTCGTTTAATGTGGCAATCTCCAGCTGCATCCACCTTCTTGCAAATGACATTAACTTCACTCTGTTCTGTTCTATGGCTCAATGCATTCCATTGTAGGTATACATCACATGAGAAAAAGATTTCTTTGGGCTCAGAAGTTTGAGGGGTCCTTCTACAATGGGTAGGCCTCATTATGGCAGGCATGTGGGGGCGGGGCTGTGCAGATCACCTCAAAGAGGAGGAAGAGGAAAAGGCTAAGTGTAACATGTAGTCTTCCTGCCTGGTTCCTGTTGTTTCTTTCAGCCCCCAAATTACACACAAGACACTATATTAATTATGAAGCTGTTGGTCATTTGCTTGGTTTCTTATCAGCTAGCTCTGACTTGATTATTAACCCATAATTACTATATATTGTATAAGGACTTATCTTTATAAGGACACACTCCTGCTGGGTCCATTCCTCCCGGGAGATCACGTGGCAAGGACTCCCTTCACTACATTTCCCAGAATCCTCCTAGACTCCTAGTCACACCTATCTTGCTTCCCTATTGGTCAACAGTGCTTTATTCAAACCAATCAGACACATATTTACAGGATGGCATCTCCCAACAGCTAAGTTCCATGATTCTCAGCAAAAGCACATCTCCCCCACCCAAAGTCCTCCCTCGAGGCTCCATTCCTAAAGTCCCCACTGTCTCCCAGGTGTACCACAGGGGAGTCAAAGGCCTTAATACATGAACTTTGGGGACACTCTAGTTACAAACAAGAGCATCAGTGATGTCTCTTCCCTCAGAAAAGGAGAAGCAACTGTCCACTAGGATCAAAGGGGAGTTAGAGAGGGAAGGGGGTCTGTAGGGGAGAGCCCACAAAACTCTCCATGCCTCCCAGCACAACGCTCTTTCTCTGGTAAATAAATATATTATATTCCATATTGCATGGACCTCCCTCTACAGGGGTCTAAGTGTGATTAGAAAGGTATGACATGAGGAAAGCAGGGCACAGCAGCTGTGTAGGCCAGGATACTGCAAGGGATTGTGACCAGAGGAACTTGTGACCATGAGATTGTAAAAAAGATGTTTTTAAGTTTGGAGTGTGTGTGTGTGTGTGTATGCGTGCGCGCGCGCGTGCGCAGGCATGAAGTGGCTTGAGTGAAATGATCTCCATAGACTCAGATGTTTGAATACTCAGTCCCCAGCTGGTGGGAACTGTTTGGGAGAGATTGAGATGTGGTTTTGTCAAGGGAAGTTTGTCACTGGGGCTTCTGAAGCTTCCAGCCATTCCCAGCGTGTGCTACTGTTTCTTGTTGGTGGGTCAGGATGTGAGCTCTCGCCTGCCACTCCAGGGCTGTGACTGCCTGTGCTCCTTCCACAATGGTGATGGAACTGTAAACCTCAGATAAAAGCTTCCTTCTATAAATTGCACTGGTCATGGTGCTTTATTGCAGCAATAAAATGGGAGGGGGCAGCTGGATAAAGAAAGAGTGAATTAGGGGAGACTGAAGGTAGTCATGTTTGGGAAGGATAAAGGGTGTGGCTGGAGAAGTGCCTACTTTAAGAATGAAGCCAACTCAAAATGAAAACACAATTCAGTCATTCACCAAGCCCGCAGTGCATTCTCGGCTGTAGGGTCGTATGCTCAGCTGGGGGTGTGGCATTGTCTCCTGAGAGTTAGTGTTTTATCCTCTTTATGACTCTGTTCATGGATCCTATATGACATGTGCTGTGAAGTCTTTAATTCCACAGTATCCAGAGGTAGAGGTTCTTCCTGGGTCCCATTAGGAGAGGTGACTTAGCTTGCTTAAGGTCAGACAACTTGGTCACTAGCAGAACCAGAAACCCAATCCCTACAAAGTGGCTCCTACATGCATATGTAGAAGAGCGAGGGTCTTGAGGGGCAGTGGAGTTGTCTAGACTAAGAGGCCAGAGAAGGAAGAATGTTGCCCGTATGGAGCAGAGTCACCTGGGACAAAGGCAGGAGTCAAAGTGAAGAGGAGGGCTGTGAACTAAGTACCAGGTAGGTACCCTGTGAGCCTGGTGCATTAGTTATTTTTTGTTGTTGCTGCTGTGATAAAATACTATGACCAAAAGTGAATTATACAAGAAATTGTTTATTTTGACTTACGAATAGAGGGCTGCTGGGTGATGGATACACATGCCATTAGTCCTAGGACTTGGGTGGCAGAGGCAGGAGGATCTCTGTGAGTCTGAGGCCAACCTGATCTACAAGGTGAGTTCCAGATCAGCCAGGGCTGCTATACAGAGGAACCCTGTCTCTAAAAAGAAAAAAACAAAAAGATTAGAGAAGGCTAGTTTATGATGGCAGGGGTGGCATGGTGGCAGGGCCCAGAAGTCTAAGGATCCTATTTTTCAACTACAGATATGAATCAGAGACAGAATTGCATGTGGAGTGAGGCACTCTCAAAGTCTACCCCAGGTGATGCACTTCCTCCAACAGGGCTCCAACTCCTAAAGTCCCATAAACTCATCAAACATGGCCACCAACTGGCATTGCTCATTCAAACTGCTACAGATGGGATGGAAGGGGTCAACCCTTACCTGACAGTGAAGTTCTAGTCTACACTCTTGGACAAATCTAGTCTACAGAGAGGGTCTTTATTTGGGGTATTCGGGTATCCTCTGCCTCTGCTTTGGAAGCCATTGCTCGGGTGGCTCCGACTTGGACCTTTTCCTGTCTGTCTCAGGCAGATGCCATCCTCTGTGGGGAGGAGACTGAAGTCATAAGAGTGGTCACCAGAACAAAGTGCTCTCTAAGTCTTCGTCCAGCTTTTAGAACCTATGTCCTCCCCCACATACCTCCATCTGAGCCTGTCTGGATCCCCTTCTCTGCTCTCTTCCGATTCCCCCAGATCAGCTAGGACCATTTGAAACCTAGAGGCTTGTTGGCAGGTGAGAAGACCTAGAAAACACACAAACCCAGATTGGTCTCTGGCTCTCAAGTTCTTCTACAAGGCAGGAATGATGTCCTGGACAAGTCCCCCTCCTCACAGTTTCCACTCCTCCATGGCTGAAGCAAGTCTTCACAGCTCAGCATCCTAGGGTTCAAGGTAACAGAATGATCTGCCTATGTCTCTCCTGAAGCCCAAACCCATTTCCTGTGCCCTCCTGTGCTTGCCCAACTGGGCCTCAGCTTGTATTCATACAGTTAGCGTTAGAACAGTCCTTGCTCTTGACCTGCAGGAAGGCTGGAGGCTTCCCCATCTGGGCAAGGCCTTTGGTCTCCACCTTCCCTGCTTCATACAGAAGTCTTCTCCTCAAGACTAAAGGTTCAACCAAGTCAGCCCAAGCTGGTCTGTCTAAGAGGCTCGGGGTCCTTTGGTGCATGAATGCACACAGGCATGAATGATGCAGTTACTAATTATGGTGTGTGTGTGTGTGTGTGTGTGTGTGTGTGTGTGTGTGTGTGTGTGTGTGTGTGTGTTGGGGAGGTTAGGGTGTGTCTGGAATTCTGAGAAATAAGCAGAACTCTGCCAACTTACAGTCCCCAGACCCTGGCTTTTACTCTTCTCCCCAGCTGGGCACATGCTAAAGCCAGCACTAAGCTCATCCCAATGATGTGCCCCAGGACGTAGACCACTAACTATGTGCCACCCTGTGGCATCACAGACAGCCCTGTGGCAGACACCATCATTCTGGCACAGCAGGCGTTCTCACGGAAGCTTTCAGGGGCCCTGTGACAGACAGGTGGGGCTGGAGTTGTGGGGGACACAGTCACTCTGCTAAACCCACGTGAGACTCTCAGTCGCCCTTTGACCTTGTTTGGGATTCTTTCTGCTTCCTCCCTAACAACACTTCCCAGCTGGATCATAAATAAGAGGGCAGTATAGCCACATATTTATAGTCTCTGTGAATCACTAGTGACTAATTTTCCCCATTTTGTCACCCCAGATAGTTTTCTCTCTAGCCTCCCGGCAAGGGCTCAGCACCAACCAATCATTTAAATGAAAGTGTACATTTTTATTGTTAAAAAATTCCTTGTCTAACACGAGACAAAAATTGAACTGCAGAATGACCATTTTTGTTTTGTTTTGTTTGTTTGTTTAACCTGCATTCATCTCAAGAAGAGTCAGATGCTTCCTACTGCCTCTCTAGGCTGCTAGGACTTTCCAAGACTCTGTGGTCTGTTCTCTTACACCCAGGGAGATTTTTAAGTGAAAAGGTAAAGTAACCTCCCAGAGTGAGAGGTATCACTCCTATTTTTTCACTGGGTTTGTTTTGGCTATGTCTCCTTAGTAGAGCAAAGGTCCTCCAGGATTTTGGTTACAAATCATTATGTTTCATTTAGTAAACCCAACTTACCAAAAAGGAGGGTGGGGCAGCCAGATTCCAGTACCTCACAATCTGTGACACATTCTTACTTAACACTAATTTCTCCCTGTAAAACTTGGCCTCTTGGATTTTAGGTTTGCTTTTTGTTTTTTCTATGACCAGCATTATTTACATCTCCTACCCAGAGGCTCCGCCACTCATGCGAAACTCATTGCATTTCCTTGGAGGGATTTATTTCTGTGGTATGCTTCTAAAAGATGCGATTGGCTCCCAAATAAAACCACAGAGGGACAGGGGAGAGAAGAGGAGGGGTTTCTGAGAAGAGATGGAGAGGGATAAGGGTAGAAAATATCTGAGGATGTTGATGAGCCAAAAGGCAAGATTTTCTGCAATTATCATTTCCAATTTGCTGAGAAATGAATGGATAAAACTATTGGGTACAGGAGAAAGGGTTTGGGTCAGATGGTTTGTGTTTGTGTGTGTGTGTGTGTGTGTGTGTGTGTGTGTGTGTGCGCGCGCGCGCGCGCGTATGTGAAGAGGTAACAGAAAATGTACTGAGGAGGTATGGTGAGCTAGAAAATAATGCCGACACTGGAGGAAGTGCCCAGAGGCCAAGGGGCTTCTGAAAACCATCCTGGAGGGGCTGGGAGCCTTGACCCCACCTCCCCCCCCCCTTACCTGACCGATGTTAGCCCAAGGCTGCTGTCCTCCACCTTCCCTCTAAGGACCACTGTTAGGACTGGCTGCCTCACCAGCCTCTCCCGGCAATGAGTGTGTTCATGAAAGAATCAAAGCTAGGCCTCGCGGTGTCTTTTGCCCCAGACAGCCCCAATGTGTCTTTCTGGGTTTGAGTCAGTGTCCTGCCCTGGGGAGCAAGTGACTTTTTACCTCTGAATCTCCACCCATGGCACGGTTTGACCTTGGACCCAAGCGGCTTCCCAAGAGCCAGGCTCTGCTGCCTGCCAATTGCCAATGCTGATTTTACACATTCCGATTCATTTTTTTAATGAGTATTTATTCTAGTTATAAAATAGCAACTGCAGGGCTGTAAACTCACAGATCACGTGACTGGAACTGCGTGCTTTCTTTTTCTGGGGGCCTTTATGTAGGGCCAGCATTCTAACCTTTTATTAACCCCTGTCCCCGCAAGAAGTGAGCACTTACTGTATGTAAAGCTCCATGCTGGATATTATGGAAGATAAAGACTCAGTTCTCCTCTCAGGACAAGAGAGAAAAGAGTACCCACTGAGCCCCTCCAATCTGTGCCTGATGGCGGGGCACCTGAGGACCTGACTCAATCCCTAGAACCCACATTTAAAAAAATGCTGGGTGGTGGTGCCGCTTGCAAACACAGTGCCAGAGAGACAGAGAGAGCATCCCTGGGGCTCCCTGGCCAGCTAGCCTCCCCTATTTGCTGAACTCTAGGACAGTGAGAGATACTGTCTCAAAACACAACCAAGCTGGGCACTGGTGGCACACGCCTTTAATACCAGCAGAGACAAGCAGATCTCTGAGTTCAAGGTCAGCTTGGTCCACAGAGTGAGTTCCAGGACAGCCAGAGCCTCTCTCTCTCTCTACACACACACACACACACACACACACACATCTTCTGAGATTGGTCAGCCCGTTTGTTAAATGTAATGTAGTCTTGATATTAGTATTCTGTTGTGTGAATGGCTGAGAGGGATTTTCTTCCATTCTGTTGCTTGTGTCTTCACAGAGCTACCTATTGATGGGTTCCCTGAACCTTCCAAAAGTTGCATGTTCAATGTTAAACCCAATGTCTTTTTTTCCCCCAGTTACAACCCCTGGCTTAACTACTGTACCGCCATCCACCTGATGTACCAAGCAAGAAACCTGCTCTCCCTCCTCCCTCACTTCTCACCTCTGACCTAGTCCCAGGACTTGCCAACTCCACATCTGGAATACTTTCACACCCCCCAATCTGATGTCTTCTCCTGCCTGGCCAGAAGAGGATAAAATCCTCTTGCCCGTATTCTGCACCTGTTCAGTCACCAGTGTTTCCTGTGTACTGGCCAGAGTCAACCTCTATCCTTCTTTAAAGCCTGTATTGGCTCTCAGGACAGGGCCAGAGGGTCGTAATGCGGCACTCGGGGTCCTCCATCATGGAGCCCATGACCCTCATCTCTCTCTTTTCTTACTCTCTCTTCTCTGCAGGCACTGCACTGCTATTGGAAGCGTGTGCTGAGTCTCCTAAAATAAAGGCTCCTCCTCCTCTTCCTTCTCCATTTTCTTCCTTCATTGTGCTTACCATAACGTGATGATGGTCTAGTCAAATCGCTGCCATTGACTGCCTCCTCACAAACGCTCTATGAAAATAGAAATTTCTAAAGTTGTGTCAATTATGCATGGCAGAAACCTTGCTATTTAAGTCATCTGAAGTGTAAAATTCAGTAATATCAAACGCATTTACTCAGCCGTTCCTATATTTATCTCCGGGACTTTTACATCCTCTCTAATGGGGACTCTGTATTCTTTAAATAGTAACTCCCCATTGCCCCTCCCTCCAGGCTCTGGTAGGCACTATTTTCTCTCTATGTAAATGTACCCATCCTGAGTTCTTCATGCAAGTAGAATCATATATATTTGTTGTTTTGCGTCTAGCTTGTTTCACTTAGCATAATGGTTTTAAGGTTCATTTGCCATCGCATATATCAGAATTTCATCCCTTTTAATGGCCATTTGATATTTTATGTCATGCATATGCCACACTTTATTTATTCATTCAGCCATTCATGTACGTGTGGGCTGTTTCCACATTCTGACTCTCATTAGCACTTGTACTTGTAGTGTGGACAGATCTGGAAATAGAAGTCTGGTCATCAATAGTAGCCGACAGCCTGGAATGATATTAGTTCACAGGCACCCAACCAAGCTCCCCTCTTGTGAGGCTTTGCCTAAATGTAGACTGTTTCTTCCATCTAGAAACTCGTCCCCTTCTTGTCCTCGAAGAAATGTTTTTGTCCCCTTTTGCACACATTACAGCTGAGACATTAAGCCAGAGGTTCTCAACCTTCCTGATGCTGGGACCCTTTAATACAGTCCCTCATGTTGTGGTGACCCCCCAACCATAACGTTATTTTCATTGCTACTTCACAACTGTAATTTTGCTATTGTTATGAACTGTAAGGTAAATATTTGAAGTGTAGGATATCTGATATTCAACTCAAAGGTCACGACCCACAGGCTGAAAACCACTACACTGAGCTGCCTTTTTTCTTTCCCAGGGCCTAAGGGATCTCATTGTTATTAATCTCTCTTCTCTTCCTTTCTTGTGTCCTCCATTCTCAACCTAGCCTGCCCCACAAGTCTGTGCCATTCACCCACTACAAACTTCTGCCAGGACCCAATTCTTCTGAGCAGAGTCACACCAGGCTGCTTGTCAGCAGCTTGCAGTGGATGGCGTTAGCTTGACTACAGAATGTCCCTCACAGGCTTGCCTTTGGATCACTCAGTCTCCATCTGGTGGTGCAGTTTGGAGACATCGTAGACCTTCCCCCCTCCGTGACATAGAGCCTTGGTGGATATAGACCCCCACGGGTGGGTCTTTGACAGCCATAATAGCCTGTCTTTAGTTCCATCGAGCTCTCTGCTTGCTGCACCATAAACACGTTCTAGACGTTTTGAAATAATCTTCCCCAGCTGCCATGATAGATTGTATTCCCCAAAACCATAAGTTAAAAAAAAGTCTTTCCCCCTTAAGTTGTTCTGTTAAAGTATCCTGTCACAGTGAGAGAAAAGTAATGAGCGGGAACCAGGTAGCTGAGGCATAAAGCAGGCCATGCCTGCCTCAGAGCTAGCTACCCACATCTGAGACCTGAGTGTCTCTGCAGTGGCTCAGATTCTGCAGCAAAGTCAAACACCAGCACCAGGGCCAGAGCACCCCATTACTTACTCTTGGATCCACCTGCAATAGTTCCCTCTGTCTATGCTACAAGGAGTAGAAACCCCAGTGCCGGTCAAGCCAACAGAGGGAAAGGAACGGCCACTTCTGAGAACCTGATGAAGACATCCTAGGCCCTGTGGGGGGGTCTGGCTTTACAACCTACTGAGAGCAAGTAGGATTTTCATTCGATTTTAAACCAAATATTTATGCACAATAAGAGATAGGGGTGATCATCGTGGAAAAGTGTGAGAGGCTCAGGGTGGGTGACTAATAATTCTTCTCTCTGGAAACCTCCTGGAAGTTACAGTTTTCTCCCTGGTCCTCTCTTTGTGTGGTCCTCACTGAACTCCCACTGGCTTCTTTTCCAGTCAGCAAACATTTCTTCCCAATTCTTCATACTCACAGAGATCATTACTTCCTTGAACATTGTCTGTGAGGCAGATAGAACTCCTGTGGTGATAGATTGGTTATCATCTAATAAAGCCACTGAAGAGCAGAAAGCAAAGCCAGCCACAGCCATAGAAGCTGGGCAGTGGCGCACACACCTTTAGTCCCAGGACTCAGGAGACAGAGGCAGATGGGTCTCTGTGAGTTCAGGACCACCACATGAGAATTACTCGGCCTAAAAGAGAAGCAGAGCTCATGCCTTTAATCCCAGCACTAGAGAGGTGCATAAGGAAGACGCAAAGGGTCTCATGGGAGATTCAGTTTCAGTCGCTGGGAAGACAAGACATTTCAGCCTTGGTAGAGGTGAGAGCTGCTGGCTGGCTGCTTTGCTTTTCTGTCTTCAGCTTGAACACCAATATCTGTCTCTGGGTTTTTATTATTTGTGCTACAAACCCCAAACTTCTGAGTGTAAAATACTCTAAAAGCAGCATTTATGTGTGTTCATATGAACACACGTGCATGTGTGTGAGCATGTGTGTAGAAGCCAGAGTTCAACCTCAGGAGTTGTTCCCCAGGCACCATCTGTGTTACTTTTGAGATGGTGTCTCACTGGCCCAGTGCTGACCATCAATCCTCAGGCACCTTCCTGTCTCCACCTCCTGGGGAGATTTCACTCTTGTAACCTTGGCTTTCTTCATGTGATTCTGAGGGTCCAAGGCCTCACACTCAGGTGCTTTACTGACAGAGACATCACCTTGGCCCCAGAAGAACATTTTAATATTACTATTTCAGATGCATTAAAGAAAACACAAAATGTGGGCTGGATATTTAGAAAGAGAATGGAAGAAGAAAGAAAGTTAGCTGAATATTCAGCTAAAGGAGTTGAAAACAGCTGTCTCTGGAGAGGTGAGGCTGGCAAACTCTGAATTTTTCCTAAGGAGTCTGGTGACGCTTGCTGAATCTTGAAACCATATACAACTGTGATAAAACGAAACATTAGCTTCAAAGAGGGAGAGAAGGCACACTATATTGATCTAACAGTAAACCCAGCTCATACTTTATACTTTGTAAACATATTGTACTTTGTAAACATCATTTTAATGGTTATATATTGTCCCATTGTGTAGAAATATCACACTTCTTTTTTTTTTTATTTCCCTGTTATGGAGCATATCATTTTCTACTAAATTCTATTATTCAGGCAGCATTTTATTGAGCAGCCATTTACATGAACCTCTTCCTTATCTGAGATTCCCCTTATAAGAAAGTAGGAAGCCTAACTATGAGTACTGGCACTGACTTATAATCCCAGTTCAGAAAGATCATGAGGTTGAGGCTGTCCTGTGCCATATAGCCCAGTAAGACTCTGTTTGGAAACAAAAGACGGGAAAGAAAGAGAAAGTTGTGTGAGAGTGCTTATTTCCCTGTACTCTAACCAACTTTGATTAAACTGCTCTGTCTAAACCCCCAAGAGGTGCAGCAGTTTTGAAGATGAGAGGGTGGGGTCGTCCAGCCTCCTGAACTTACACTAGGCTAATCAGTGATGGAGCCCTCTTAAGCCTGATCTTATCTGAAAGCCAAGTACTAGACACAGCATGTTCAATCTGGAGGAAGAACTCGTTATTGCAAGAGCTGGGTTCGAATCCAACCCTTTCCACTAGATAGCACATTTAGATTCCCAATTGCCTTGTCCACAAAACACAAGTGCTCACTACTACCCACCTACACAGAGCTGTGGGAACAAGTGAGACCATAAATACGAAGATGGAAAATTCTGGAAAGTTTCATCTGCTATAGGCTTTAAGATACATGGGTCCACTCGCCTGTAGATGACATTTATCAAGAACTTACATGTGGCAGTGGTTCTACAGTAAATGCTTTCTATAGATTATCTCGTTTAATTCCAGCAACCGCCTTCTGGGATAGATTTTTGTTGTTGTATTTTGAGATGAAAAACTGTAGCTGTGACTCATTGACACAAGCTTGAATATAGGAGTTCTGCCTCCAGGGTTTGAGCTCATGCTTTAAAACAGAGATTTTATCATTACTGTTTTTGGCTTTTTGCTGAGTCCAACAGACAGGTGACCATTGCCAATGCAGTTTCCAGGAGGAAAGGGCCACCAGAACCTGTGGGACCACACGGGAGGCAACAGGGCTGGCCAGGGCTGAGGAAGGCATGGATCTACCATGGGTGTTTGAAATAACAATGGTGATACAGGGTGAGCAGACCAGTAGGATGCATCTCTGGCTGTTTTCCATGATTTTCTGAGCTCGTAAGGGTGCATGGACTGCTCCTTGGCCTGCTTTCTGCCTTGTCCTGGAATGATCTGGGCTACAGAAAGGTGGTTCAATCTGGGAGTTCTGGAGGGAACACTTTTGGGCCCTTCTGGACTCTGAGTTGGTTGGTTTTCATGGAAAAGGTGTATTTTCAGAGGAACCCTTTGTTAGGTCTAGGAATTAGCTGGCCCGGAAGGGCCGTCTCTCCAGCCCCAGAAAACCTCTTTGTGGTAGTACTTTAAGAAGAAAGAATGGAAGAAAACAGAGTTGATGCACTGGTGAACTAACCCCCATTACTGGTGCTGGGTGGGTCCTGTCATCGTGGACCATCCACCAATAAGGATTCCATTGTTATCCAAATGCATGGTGAGTGAAGACAGGGATCATGATGCACACAGCCCAGTGTCTGGCACACAGTAACTCGGGGTGGCCTTTTAGAATAAGTGAATGAATGAACGAATGAATGATTCTGCTAAGCCTAAGGCTTCCTATGCTTTAAAAGACACACAGGTGCAGATGCTTGGTGAATACATTCTGTTTCTGCATAACCTTAATGGCCAGGATCTAGGCCTCTGTTATGAAGAGCTCTTCCCTGAGGGCTCAGGGCATTCAGATACTGCCTGAACATCACAATGACTCCTGACTTTGTCTTCAGAAAAATCTATCC